GCGTTACCGGCCAACTCCAGTATTTCCGCGGCCAAGTACTCGAGTACTGCAGCCAAATATACAGGAGCGCCGGCACCAACACGCTCGGCATAATTGCCTTTTCTTAAGAATCGGTGTACGCGACTACTGGGAACTGGAGACCAGCACGGGATGAACGAGTCTTGGACTTGCCCTTTGCCTTACCACCTTTTCCACGACCAGACATGGTTGTATGTTAACTATTCGGCTCGAACTAGGACGAGAATGATACTGCGGGTATCTCACTGGCTGTTTTTATACACCCGACCCGGATTCCGATTGCAAATATATACTTCCAATCAGAATTGAGGATAGAGATGAATAGCATTCAGTCAGCGCCTCAACAATGACAATGAACACTTTGAATGAAAAAAACCCTAAAAAACTGTGTTTTCTCTTGCGTTCGTTTGGTTTTGGCGCGCTTGGTTTAGAATCCTTCATTAGCATATCGTTCGCTATAAATAGTGAATCAATGCCAATGACTGTCACTTTGAACTTCATCCTCATACGTTCAACATGCCTCCCAAAACTAGTGGTAAAGCAGCAAAGAAAGGCGGTAAGGCTAAGGCCACCCGTCCTACTGGCGACAAGAGAAAGCGAAAGAGAGGTAGAAAAGAATCCTACGGTATTTACATCTACAAGGTATTGAAGCAAGTTCACCCAGACACTGGTGTGTCATCCAAGGCTATGTCGATCATGAACAGCTTCGTCAACGACATATTTGAACGTATCGCCACAGAGGCCTCCAGGTTGGCACACTACAACAAGCGTAGAACCATTACCAGCAGAGAGGTTCAGACCGCTGTCCGTCTTCTTTTGCCCGGTGAGCTTGCCAAACATGCAGTCAGTGAAGGAACAAAAGCAGTCACCAAGTATACCAGTTCGAACTGGCGACAAGAGAAAGCGAAAGAGAGGTAGAAAAGAATCCTACGGTATTTACATCTACAAGGTATTGAAGCAAGTTCACCCATACACTGGTGTGTCATCCAAGGCTATGTCGATCATGAACAGCTTCGTCAACGACATATTTGAACGTATCGCCACAGAGGCCTCCAGGTTGGCACACTACAACAAGCGTAGAACCATTACCAGCAGAGAGGTTCAGACCGCTGTCCGTCTTCTTTTGCCCGGTGAGCTTGCCAAACATGCAGTCAGTGAAGGAACAAAAGCAGTCACCAAGTATACCAGTTCGAAGTAGTATGCTTGTCATACACAAACCAAACGGCCCTTTTCAGGGCCACCACATCCTCCAAAAAGAGAACTACCGTGAAAAAAAAACTCACAACATGCACCTAGAGCTGCCTACTAATGCAGTGTTATATGACATATATGAGCTTACACATGGAAATAAATATACCATTACACGAATGAATGAAGGAATACATAAATAAACAGATAAAATAAATAAATCAATATGTTTGAATTATTGTTGTAAGGTTGTATAAATAAGAATGTTGTAACGTTTATGAAAACATGCGTATTGGAAAATGTACCTATTCGTTAAAGTAATGCTAATAAACACAGCGATATCAATACGTGGAAAATCTTAACCACGGGTATTCGTCTATATACATAGCTTAATGTGTTCTCGTCCATGTC